TAAAATTATTTTAAGTTAAAGTATTTTTTTTTCAAATAAATTTTAAAAATGTTAGTCATAACCTTTTCAATTAATTAAGAATAGTACTTACTTAGTCATTTTCTCAAAAAAGGTTAGTCAAGACTTTTCTTCTTCAAATAATTTAAAATGATTGTCATGCTTTAATTCATTAAATTGGTTTAAATTATTATTTCAAAATGAATTAAATAAATTCTAATTAATCTAGTTTTATTAATATTCTAACCACTTGCAATTTAAATTAAATGTTTCATTTTTGGGTCCTTTTCTCTAAAAATAAAATAAAAAATAAAAAAATGCGTCATTTATTTAATTATTTTTTCAAAGTTAATCAAATATTGTAAATTATTATTCTTTTGTTAAATCTTTTTTTCTATAAAAATGTCAAAATATATTTTTGAATATTTTCGGTCAACCGCATGTTAGCGGACACTTCAAATGCTTAAACCCTTCTCAAAGTGTAAATTGAACCCCAAACCCTTTTGGAATTTTCAAATGATTTTTTCTGTTTAAATCTTTGAAAATTATAAGTTTTTTTAATTTCTTTAAAAAGATTAAGTGGCGACTCTTTTCTAAGAATTTTTCTCAAATTGTTTTATACTTAGAACATTTCAAAAAGTGATTTTTCTAAAGATAGGAAAATTACGGCACAACAAAGATTATACCGAGTAAGAAATTTCGGCCAGCATAAATAAGGCGAAGCATAATTAGAGAATGGTGTGAAGCTATCTGCACACAATCCCAATCTAACATTTCTTGGTTCACTAGCAAAATCAGGATATACATTATCAAAATGCTTCCATGCTTCACCATCAGATGGATGAGACAAGACACCCGGTGGCCTTCTATATTCACGATGCCATCTCATATGTGGGGCAGACCTCATCGATTCATATAACCTCTTTAACCTAGGAATGAGAGGTAGATAATGCATCGCCTTAACTGGGACCATCTTTTCAACCGGAGTCCTCTTATAACGAGCATGTCCACAAAACTTACAATTTCTAATTCACTATCAGTCTTGCAAAACAACATGCAACCGTTAACACAACAATGAATTCTATCATACGTTAATCCTAACTTGGAAATCAAACGCTTTGCTTGATAGAAGTTCTTAGGTATGTTAAACTCTGGATTAACTAGTTCACCCAAAAGATCAACCACTGAGTCCATTGCCGCATTAGGAACAATCCAATCTGATTTAATATTCATTAATCTAACCGCAACTGACATGGTAGAATGCGGACTCCCTTCACATAGTGGACGACTAGACTCTTCTAATTGATCATAGAAGTGTCTTGCTTCTTCAGTAGGAGCTTCATCAAAATATTATTTCGATTTCATCCCACCTTGAACCCCGAAAGCATCATTGATCATCTCATGAACCCTATCATGTTCAACCCTATCCTGTTCAACTCTAATTTGACCATATGTTGCAATCATATTATATTCATCCACATGCATCGAATTATAAAACATTCCATTCAGTCCATCTATTTATCCATGATCAATCCATAAAAATATCTAGGCTTAAATCCATTACGGTACAAATGAACCATAATTATAGATGGTTTATAAAATTTTAAGCACTTACATGCACTACAAGGACACCTAACCAATCCATTATTCTTGAAAATGTCAAGTGTCATTGTATGTTCAATAAAATCTCTAACACCGTCAATAAACTCAGGTTTTAAACCAGCACTAGTTTCATAATGCATATTATACATCTACAAACGATGATCCATCTACAAAAATATAGATATTCAATTAGTTTTGACTTAATTCCACCAACTAAACCACATTATTTATTTTAACTTATTCAAACAACGTAACTACTTTTTAACTTTAACTAGTTTAGTATTGACTTAATTCCACCAACTGAATCACATTATTTATTTTAACTTATTTAAACAACTTAACTACTTTTTAACTTTAACTAGTTTAGTTTTGACTTAATTCCAACAACTAAATCCACCAACTAAACCACATTATTTATTTGAACTTATTTACACAACTTAACAACTTAAACTAGTTTGGTTTTGACTTAATTCCAACAACTAAATTCACCAACTAAACCACATTATTTATTTTAACTTATTTAAACAACTTAACAACTTTTTAACTTGACCTAGTTTAGTTTTGACTTAATTCCAACAACTAAATCCATCAACAAAACCACATTATTTAATTTAACTTATTTAAACAACTTAACAACTTTAACTAGTTTAGTTTTGACTTAATTCCAACAACTAAACCCATCAACAAAATCATATTATTTAATTTAACTTATTTAAACAACTTAACAACTTTTAAACTTGACCTAGTTTAGTTTTGACTTAATTCCAACAACTAAATCCATCAACAAAATCACATTATTTAATTTAACTTATTTAAACAACTTAACAACTTGACCTAGTTTAGTTTTGACTTAATACCAACAACTAAATCCACCAACTAAATCACATTATTTATTTTAACTTATTTAAACAACTTTTAAACTTTAACTAGTTTAGTTTTGACTTAATTCCAACAACTAAATCCATCAACAAAACCACATTATTTAATTTAACTTATTTAAACAACTTAACAACTTTAACTAGTTTAGTTTTGACTTAATTCCAACAACTAAATCCACCAACTAAACCACATTATTTATTTGAACTTATTTACACAACTTAACAACTTTAACTAGTTTAGTTTTGACGTAATTCCAACAACTAAATTCATCAACTAAACCACATTATTATTTGAACTTATTTAAACAACTTAACAACTTTTTAACTTGAACTCGTTTATTTTTTACTTAATTCCAACAACTAAATTCATCAACAAAATCACATTATTTAATTTAACTTATTTAAACCACTTAACAACTTTTTAACTTTAACAACTTTTTAAAGCTATCCGTCAACACTAGATGAACATAAATCGATCTTGCAAGAAAATCAATTTTGTCATCAATAGGATCAACTAGTGTTGGTACTTATGCTAAACAAATACATTATTCCTAAATTAAAGCTTAATACTAACACTAAATGGACAGAAATCGGTCTTTCACGAAAATCAATTTTTTCATCAATAGGATCAACTAGTGTTGGTACTTATGCTAAACAAACACATTATTCCTAAATTAAAGCTTAATATCAACACTAGATTGACACAAATTGATGTTGCAAGAAAATCAATTTTGTCATCAATAGAATCAACTAGTGTTGGTACTTATACTTAACAAACACTTGATGGACACAAAAAAATTATCACAAAATTAAAGCTAAGTATCAATACTAGATGGACACAAACACATTATTGAAAAAAATTGTACTTGAATTTTAGAAATTTAGAAGCACCGACCTTATCTCCTACTTTGATGAAAGAAACAATATAGTCTTGTATCAATTTTTTTAGATGTTGAGCTTCCTCAGTTGCTTAGCACGAAAAGTTCTAAAATTAGTTAAATATAAACTTCAAATCCAAGAATATTAGTTTTATATATATATATATATATATATATATATATATATATATATATATATTCAAGTTTTAATAAGTTCAAGTTTTCAATTCAAGTTCATATCTAATTTCTAAACTTAATTAGTTATATATTCAAGCTAATTAGTTCCAAGTTCAAGTCCTATTTTCAAGTTCAAGTCTAAGTTCAACTTCAAGTTCTAATTTCAAGTCCAAGTTCTAATTTCAAGTTCTAAGTTCAAAGTTCAAGTTCTAATTGTAAGTTCAAGTTCAAGTTCTAATTTCAAGTTCATGACATTCAAACATTCATCATCTATACTCATAACACTGCATGAATTACTCATTTCTAACTTCAAATTAACACATTACTAACTAACAATCAATCAAATCCAAAAAAATCTCAATTCAACCTCAAATAACATATTCTCAAGTTTAAACTAGTCCTAAAATAAAAAAATCCTAAATATTCACTAACAATGCCCAATTTTAAAATGCCCAATTTTTTTTAAAAAAAACCCTAAAATAAAAATCTCCAATTCTCTATACCTAACTAATAATAATCAAATCAAATTAACAATTGAATAGCACAACCCAACAAACAAAAACAATAATATATTAACAAACAATCAATTATAATAACTAGAATTGATTTTTTTGTAACACTTACCTTAACAAATTAGTAGAGGCAACAACACCCACGAGTAGGGACGGCGATCGGCAACGGGGAAGGGCAGCATTGCAACGACACGACGACCGGTGAGGGCGACAGCGACGGGGAAGGGCAGCGATGTGCAGGGAGATTGATAGAGAGAAGGAAGAGAATAAGGGTGGAGAGAGAGAAGAAAATAAGAAAAAACTAGATCTGTATTTCAGATATTTCATAAAAAGCGACAGACAACGTCTATAAGTCCGTCGCTTATTTTAAATATAGTTGACCAATATTTTGACCAAAAAGTGACGGACTAAGAGACACTGTTTGTCACTTTCTTAAAATAGTTGACTATATATTTTGAGCAAGAAGCAACAGACATAAAGATGTCGTCTATCGCAATGATAAGTAATTAATAAAATTATATAAATTAAAAGAGACGGACTGCGTTGTTAATTTTTAATTTATATACAATTATTTTTAATAAAAGCGATGGACGGCGTCGCCATTTATATTAAATAAATAATTAGTATATATTTGGCGCTAAAATCCACGAAAAAAGTGACGGACTAAGAGATGCCGTTCGTCGCTTTTTGTTAAATAATTTTAAAAATAATTATTTTTATGAAAAAGCGACGGACAGTGTGGCAAATGGCGTTTCTTTTTGGAGTGACGCCATCCGTCGTTTTTTAGTTGTTTTTTAGTAGTGAAGAATCTACAAGTACTGATAGTCAAACTGTGTAAACTCCATCAGAGGCTGATTTTTTGAACTTGAAGCTATACGATTATCTACTTGGGAAAAAATGTTAATGCTTCACCAAGATTGTCTTTTTCCTCCAAGTCGTCGAACCAGGTCAAAATCTTAATTCATAAGCATAACACGCTTTGCATGAATAGCACATAGCATTGCATCTTGAAACAAATGAACTAAAAAATCTTCAGTAACCTCTTGAATAACAATTAACACCTTAGCTTGCCAACGAGTTACCTTAGGTGCAAAAAAGTGACTAACTTCTCTAACATTTCTGAATAAAGGAGCAACTGGAATAACAAGATTCCACGTCTTCTGAAAGTGCCTGATTTCTCGAAGCGCCACTGTCCCTGGCTTGTAACGCTTCTCCTGTTTTGACTTCTGCACTGAAGTTGTCGGCGTAGTCCTTGTACTTTTTCTTGTAGGCGTCGATGGAGTCGTTGAAGGTCCAGCTTCAACAGAAGGTTTGGTGCGACTTCGTTTGACTAAGTGTTTGGTTCTCGCCATGGCTACTGCTGTTGTTGCAGAGAAGAGCATATTTGAGTAACTTGTTAATGGAGGATTTCAATAGTTTGAGAAAGAAATTGAGTTGCCGCTTTATATCATTTTTTTAAATTTTGAAGAAGAATAAAGAGGTAGGTAACTTGTATTCAACCCTTGTCACTGCTACTGACACTGACACTGCTGACATTGAAGTAATATAACTTTGCTTTTTTCCATTAAATGGTATCTCTAATAAATGATAATATGAAGAAAAAATATGAGAAAAGAATAAAAGAGAAAATAAAAATAATTTATTTTATTTTCTTAGAAAGGTGAAAATATAGAAAGAGAGAAAAAAAGAAAAGAAGATAAACTAACAAAAAAAGTAGAAATAATAAAATTATTACTAAATGGTATCTTTAATAAAGGATAAAATTAAAAAAAATAAAAGAGAAAAGAATAAAAAGGAAAATAAAAATAATAAAAGAGAAAATAAAAATAATAAATAAGAATGAACAAAAGAAATTAATGATAGGATAAACAAAATAAAATGAGAAAAAGAGGGGTGGAGGGGGAATGGGCTATAATTTATATTTTTGTTGAGATTGGGCTACGGACATGTAATTATGTGAGCGGTTACAGTTTCAATTTTTTTGCCATTAATTATTATACCCACAATTTCCTTGTATACCGAACCAAGAGAACCTTTCTCGGCCTTGATATATGATTTTATACAAACTAAATTTTATCTCTCCTTTTCACATTCTCTATTTCTCTCCTAAAATCACTCTTACACTTTCAATTTGAAATTCGAAATTCATCGTCTCCCTCCTAATCGTGTTTTCACTTTTGCAGGTAACCGCCTTGATCGTTTCTCAACCTCTTTGTTTTTTTTTGTCTTTTGATCTGTATATGTATTATTCTTTTTATTTTTTAGCTAAATTTTTCTCTTAAATCTATCATCAATCATTAGATTCTCAATTTTTTCAAAAATAAAATAGATGACGAAACTCAATCTAAAAGGATTATGAGAGATATGCCATTGCATGTCCAAGTGGTTGGTAATTCACCTTCGTTTTCACTAGGTTTAACACAAAATTTTGAAGTCAATGCAGGGTTTATTGTGAAATCTAGACAAATTCTAGTGGAAAATTCTATTGAAGACTTGAGATCCAAGAAAAACAATAACTCAGTTACATTGCAACAAGTTATCAAAAATGACAAGGCAAATGACATTAACTTAGTCAAAGGAGGAAATAAGAGAGAAGTCAAAGAAAGTAATTCTAATAGTAATCAATCGAGAACATCTGACGAGGTTGTGTCTGGTTTATCAGATCACGATAAGTTTGAAAAACATCATATATTTGTACAAAACCTTGATGTATATCAAGTTTGTATTTTTTTTATAGTTATTATGTATATACATATATAAAAATTATTCATGTATATATATATTTCGTATATTAAATCTTATCTTTGTATACTTATAAAGTTTATAGTTATATATAAACACAAACAGTTCATATTTATACAAAATAGAAAATATTTGTATAAAAGTATATAATTGTATATAGCAATTTATTTGTATAAATATTCTATTTACACACTGAAATATATTTTTCTTCATGTTTGTATAAGGAATTAGATTCATGTGCAAACTTGTATCAAAAAATGTCCCCCACATGCAGTGCTATATACTAATAAAGATCATGCATAAGTTAAACAAGAGACTTGCTGAAAGTCAGTACAATCATTTATATGGATCATCATGTTTTACTTAGTTAATTTTAATTAGACGATGCCATGTGCAAGTACAATTACTTAGGTGGTAGTTCTACCAATACAAAAATGGCAAGAAGTTTCGTTTTACAATTAGGAAGTTTGCAATATTTCTAGGCTGAATTATTCTGAAACTGAGTCTGATTTTTGCTTCAACATTGATAAACCCATCATAAGTCTTCATGATTATTTTCCAGACAAAAGTTCTATTTTTTAAACGAGAATTGATTGCTAGTTTTAAAGCTAAGGTATTTTTTTTTAATGAAATTTAGACTTTTATTGATACGAAAACAAAGTATTTAGGCCTATTACCCAAATCCAGCAAACGAAAGGAAACAAAATAAAAAGATAACAAAATAGGGTAGGCCCATTTCCGACAAGTTCTCTATTTTACTCCCTATATACATGTTCATATAGCTAATGGTTTCCTAGTTCTCCCCTCCACTGAGCTCTTCATTTTGTTCACCCAAAAATGTTTCCGCCCTGGACAAGTCTGCATCTCCGACTCTTTATGCTCTGGGTGTTAAATGATGCTGGTTGGTCCTTGGATCGAGCTTGTTCTTCAGCTATCGATGGTAAATATAGATCTTCCCTTGTTGCTTCTTTTGATTCGACTGTCTGACTACCTCTTCTTCGCAGCTGAGTTCTCCAGATCCTCCATTTTTTCCAGTCCCTTGTTACTGGCAGGCAAGAAATTAGCCTTCCCATTCCCTATCTCCTATGTGGTGATATTCTTAAATAAGGGCTGTTTAATTTATCACTGTTGATGATCCCCCTCCCTTTTGCATCGATTCTCCTGAAGTCCGAAAATATGCAATTTCCGTTATCAAGTGCTCTGTTAGCTAGATGGTCTGCTAACTGATTTCCTTCTCTCATTATGTGCTGAAAATTATGGTCTTTTCCCCTTAGACATGCTTTAATTTCCTCTACTGTATCACTAATGCACCATGGCATTGCCCATTCACCCTTCAACACTTTGCACAGTAACAGTGAGTATGTTTGATTGATGACCTTATTAAGTTGTGTCCGCGTGCAGTGTTTAGTTGCTTCTAATATTGTCTTTGCCTCTGCTCTTGTACTCGTAGTACTTTCAATAGTTGCTCCATCCGCATAAATAATGTCTCTTCTTTCATCTCTTAGACAGACAGCATATGAACTCACTCCAGGGTTGCCCCTCGATGCCCCATCCGTATTATATTTAATCCATCCTATAGGGGGGTATTTCCATTTAATTAATTCAACTGTAATTTTTGGGTAGTACTCTTCTAACTCTTTTAATATCTCTGGCCATCTTCCTAACATCTCATAAGCGATCGGCGAACCTTAATTAACATATACATGTATCTGGTAATATTGTGAATACCTCTTTGAAATGAGAGATTCTTCCCTTCATGCTCTTTCCTGCTCCGTCTCCATAGTTCCCATATTATAAAACTAGGTAAGGCTCTATAATATAGTCTCATATCTGCTTTGTTATTTGTTTCATGATGGTTTCTCTTAGGTGTTGTGTCGTAATTTTTCTAACCTTTAGAAAAATCACCTTTTAAAAATGTCCTAAGCATAAAACAATTTGAAAAATACTTAGAAAGAGTCGCCACTTAATTTTTTTGAAGAAATTAAGAAAACTTATAATTTCAAAGATTTAAACAGAAAAAATCATTTGAAAATACCAAAGAGGGTTCGGGGTTCAATTTACACTTTGAGAAGGGTTTAAGCATTCGAAGTGTCCGCTAACATGCGGTTGACCTGCGACTTGACTAAAATATATTTGACTATTTTTTAGAAAAAATGTGATTTAGCATAAGAATAATAATTTACAATATTTGGTTTACTTTGAGAAAAATAGTTAAATAAATGACACGCCTTTATTTCATTTTTTATTTTTTAGAGAAAGGTATCCCAAAAAAAAAAAATTTGAGTCGAAATACAAATAATTAGAATATTAATAAAACTGGATTAATTAGAATTTCTTTAATTCATTTTCGAGATAAATAATTTAAGCCAATGAAATTAAGCATGAAAATCATTTTTTAATTAATTGAAGAAAGAAAGCAAAGTTTTGACTAATCCCTTTTTGAGAAAATGACCAAGTAAAGAATATATATATTTATACATACATACATATATATATATATATATATATATATTTAGATTACTTGAGGAATAAATACTTTGACCCTTTAAACCGATTTTAAACGAGTAAAAAGTGATTGAGTGGGAGACATTAAAGAATATGTTGTTGTTTTATTTTCTATTTTATTTTTTTTTAGAACAAAAGATTTAACTTAAAACTGTATAATTTGGCCAATATATTTAATTAATAAGATAGATAAAATAAATATATATAAAAATTAAAAGTTAACCAACACAAAGGAAATAACTTATCTTTTGGGGAATCTAATTAAGTTAATTAAAAATTATAAAGTTAGAGTTAAATAACAAACAATAAATAATCACAATTAAATAATTAAAGAGTAAGAGAGGAATTTGAATTTGGGCCTCCTTTTGGGCCAAATTTGTTGGAATTTTTGGGTTTAACCCAACTCCCGTTTTTGTATATACGTGGTATATCAGTGTATATCAGCGTGTGCATAGGCTCTTTTCATGTATCTCTTGCTTCCGAACACCTATATGTCACCTTAGCCCTGTGTTTTTACGTTTTGGGCCTGAATGTCAGCGTATACCGCTGTATACTGAGTGTATACTGACCACTTTCGACTTTTCGGGACTGAAAATTTTGATTACCAGGCCTTACACTGCCTGTAACCTGTTCACCGGCTGTTTTGGACTCGATAAAGAGAAGCACAATCCCCGAAATGCAAGGATAGGAAGTGGAGTCTCCATGGACTCAAAAGGGATTCACATTCAACAAAAAAAGGAAACATATTAGTGAATTTGAATTTCAATGATTAGGGAAAAGAACATGTTTAGCAAATATAACACCAACTCAATCCAACAAATAAACCCAAACAACAAAGAATGTCACAGCCAAATTAATGTATTAAGGTGTTGGATAAACAAGCAATGATTTTATCACAAAGAATAGATAAAGCAATATATATAAGAAAGGGATTATCTCTTTGCTTTAGTGATCTCAAATAAGGAGGAAAATATGAATATGCATTGTTCACGATGAAAAAGGATTAACAAGCTTCCTGTAGTATGACAAGGATATATTTCTTGGCATGCACAAAGTGGCAAATGATTCTAACAACTTAAAAGAAAGACACTGTAAATGACATATA